CCTCAGCAGTGGACTTCGTCAGTCTGTCTGTTCCGCTCCCCACTCTGTCTCTGGTGAATCCTCTCACCCTCCGCATCTCTGGCGTGTAGCCTAGTCTTGTATAAATAAATAAATCTTTAAAAAAAAATGAAGGATATCTTACCATTTGTAATAACAGGAATAGATCTTGAGAACAGATGCTTTCAAATTAGACAAATAAGTGTTGGTAAGAAGGTACGAAAGAGGGAAAACTTGTGTATTGTTGGTGGGACTTTAAATAGGCACAACCAGGCTACCTCCCTGGTGGGCTAGGGTTTTAAGTCTCAGCACTATCACCACTATAGCCTGAGTAATATGTAAATAAATAAACAAATAAATTAAATCTTTAAAAAAGATAGAACTACCATAAAATCTGACTCAAAAGGTAAATGTACCCCCATGTTCACTGCAGCAATATTTATAATAGCCATGACATGAAAGAAACCTATATAACTGTTGATGGATAAAAGGGCTAAAAAAAGTATATGTAGATTAAATTGGAGTATTAGGGACTCCTAAACTATAGAGCTTTTGGGAAGTTTTGAGCAGAGTGGAAACATACTCAGAGTTGTGTTTTTGAAAGTGTCCTCTAGCAGCAGCACGTAGGTTGCATTGGAACAAGTCAGACTGAAAGTTGAGATCAGTAATGACGCCATTGCAGTCATGCAGGTGAGAGGTAACATGGGTTGGGTTAGTGGGAACAGAGAATAGGGAGTCGTGTAAAAAGTATAAAGGTTGGAACCTAGAAAATGTCATAACTGATGACATGTTACTAGCAGAAGTAGAAGAGATAGCAAAGTCCAAAGTTTTAACTTGGATTAGTGAGCCTATGTTTATCTTTACCACTTCAGTCACCTTCCTACAAGCCACCATCATCGTAATAGGCCTATATTATTGTATCAACTCCATTCTTACCCTCTAATCAATTATCTTCACAGCTATTGGACTGATGTTTTAAAAATGTAATCAAATAGAGCTCTCCCTGGTGGCACAAGGGGTTACAGCACAGAAAGATGAAGCTATCCCCAGCCACTACAGCATGAGCTCCATCTTCAGCCAGGGAGCTGACACACATGGCGCAGTAGACCTCTCCTATATCTCCTGCCCCCTCAGCAGTGTATTTCAGTGGCTCTGCCTGTTCTGTTCCCCACTCTGTCTCTGATGAATCCTCTCACCATCACCCCTCTGCACCTCAATAGCCTGTACCCCAGTTCTTGTATGTATAAATAAGTAAATATTTTTTTAAATGTAATCAAACAAAGCATGATGTGGGTCAAATTAATCACCTATATATAATTCTTCTAAATTATTCAATTTCTTTTCAAAGTCAATGATTTCCTTATAGTGACTTAAAAGATTCTTACTGCTGGGCCCCTTTATTTTCCAGTCTCATCTCCTGTCAGTCTGCCACAGTAAACACATTCTTGCCTCTGAAACTTGAAGGTGCTGTTTGTTTTGGTCAGAGTAAAGTCTTCTCATAGTCTTTGTATAGTTTCTCATCCTTTAGATCACAACTTATTATCACCAATCCTAACCATTCTATCCAAATCAGGTTCCTAACTGCTGTTCTCAGAAGTGATTCCTCTATAGCACTTACACATCTAAATTTTTTAAAAATTATACTTTTTCTAATGTTCAACATCACTTGTAATAAGGGAGATGCAATGAGATACCACCTCACCCCAGTGAGAATGGCACATCTTCAAACAACTAGCAACAGCAAATGTTGGCAAGGATGTGGAGAAGAAGGAACTCTCCTGCACTGCTGGTGGGAATGCAATCAAGTACAACTACTATGGAAAACTGCTTGGAGGTTCCTCAAACTGCTAAACATGGAGCTTCCCTACGACCCAGCAACCCCACTCCTAGGTATCTACCCAAAAGACACAAAAACACTGATTCAAAGACACCTGCACCCCCATGTTTATTGCTGCTTTATTTACAATTGCAAAGACATGGAAACAGCCCAAATGCTCAAAAACGGATG